AGCTGTTTTCCTGAGGTGGAATCTCTGCACCCGCCACAGAGCACACCCACAAGCCTGCAGATAACGCCGCCACCACCCAGGGTCTGGACTGATCTTGGCTCTGTGCCCTCTGTACCCCTTGAGGGGTACTCGACCCACTGCAAGAACTCAGGGTGCTTCTCTCAGTCTGAAGCACAAATAGTGGTCTCCCTTAGTCAGCCGAACCAAGGAGATCCCAAGGCATAATCTAGACCCTTTTCCAATAAGTCTCCCATGCTAGGTACAGAGGATAAATTTATTCGTTACAAGGAATAGGTTTAGAATAGGGTACAGGGTAGAGCAGTATCAGAGAAATACCTAGGAACAAACAGTGGTATGGCAGCCTTTGATCATGCATCTGAGTTACTGCAAGCTATATATCTAGTTAGATCTCGAGTAGCTTACTCACAAGTACCATCCAGAGGCAGGTGGAGATTCCCTCTGGAGGAAAGCAGATCATTGAACATGAGTTTCAAGAGAGAGAGCAAGTTTCAGATGGTCCAGCTTCTCTGAGAGTTTTCATCATGGCTGCTGCCCCGGCTCCTGGGCAGTCCTTAACTTATATAGACCTTATGGCCTCATTTACCTGATCCAATAAAGGCCAGCAGCTGTTGGCTGCCAGCCAACCAATTTGAAATGCATCACTGATTGCCAGGTAGACTGGCAGGGTCTCTAGCCCCCTCCCAGTCAGGATGACATTGCTTAGAACAATAGGGAGTTTAAACCCCCACCCAGGTGTGTGAGGCCAGTCATGTAGGCAGAAAAAGCAGGTTTCTCCCTCCCTCAGAAATGTATCCAGCTCAGGTTAGAACTCAGGGTTACCTGAAGCTAATGGGGCCAGAGGTGTCTGCCCTCTGCAGTGACCATGGTAACCAAATTGTCAGATTGGTCATCTGCCTTATGGCAGAGTTTGGGGAGAGACAGAGATGGCATTCTGCCACAATCTCTACCACAGCTCAGTGATGTCGCCTGAGATAATTTAAGAGTCCAGTCTGGAGCCACAGATCCATCCACAGAAGTTGCAGGCCTTTCTGCAGGGAAGAGTAGGTTGCAGGCTGGGATTCCTTTCCTTTTTCTTCCTTCGCTCTCTTCTGTGCTTTGAGACCAGGGCGCTATCTCAAAATGGGCTGCCACTTGGTCGAGGTTGCAGCACTATTGAAGTCAGTTCGCAGCCAGCTCCTCCAACTCTTGATGCTGATGTCCAGTTTCTTGAGGTACTCCTTCAGTGTGCCCTTGTAGCATTTCCTTTTGCCACTGAGAGACCTCAGGCTGTTCGGATGATCACATCACTGGGATCACCTGGCCCCAGTTGTCTTTCCTGCCTAGTGCAGGGGGCTGGACCCAATGATCTTGTGAAGTTCCTTCTAGCCTCTAACAATCTATGAATCTATAAGCTGGGAGCAGAAGCACTTGTTTTGGGAGTCAGGAGTCAGGCACAATGTCCAGTCCAGTGGAGTTGATGCTTGAGGATCACTGACTCAAAGCTGGTAACATTGGCTTCTGTGAGGCTGCTGGCATTGTGTGGCAGTCTTCTCACTTGATGTGGAGGATTTTCCAGATGCATCATTGGTGATACCTGTCTAGGCTCTTGAGATGGCGGATAGTAGGTCCACATTTCACATCCATAGCAGAGAGTGGGGTTGATGATGTAGACCTGGATCTTGAACCTGCATCAATATAGTGTATTTGTAGCATTTATGATGAGCATTTGTAGCAAAGGATGAGACTGTTTTAAGGCTTCTGGAAGAGGGAAGAGAGGGTGTTTACCAAGCTGGATTAATTCTCCAGGTGTTTACACTTGGGCTGCTAATAATACGTCTCTCCTCCTTATTTAAAGCCATCAGATGAACGTGCTTGTGTTTCAGATTACACTGGAAATAATAAAAGCTGCCTTCATGACTCATTGTTCCCCAGACTGTGAGCCAATATTGTAATTTAACAAAAATCTGTCAAAAGTAGAGAAGATATAGATTAGCATAGATATAGTCCAGCATAGACTCAAAACAAGCATTTGCGCATTTGTGCATCAGTGAAGAAAGATGGAGTGAAGACTAGCATGCTGCAGGCTCTTTGGGGAAGGGGCTGTCTCTCCCTGTGCCCAGTGGGGCCCTGAGCTCAGGCAGGGCTTCTTGGTGCTTCCATTATACGATTAACAGCTAATCATCCCTGTCTGAACCCACTCATTACATGCATTCCCCCAGTGCTTTTTGTCTTTATAGCTCAAAACACCAAGGAAAGTCTCAAGCTTCTTAACCTTTCCCCACTGCATTTTCAGCATGGTGTAGGATGGGACATGACTGAAGCAACTGAAAGCTTCATGCAACTGAGCTAGAACATAGTTTTTGCTGTGTCTGACCACCAGTTTAACCATGTAAAAGCTGCATTGTACCCCTATTCAAGCATCCTACAGCTTTCCAAACCACAAACCGTGGGGGTCAGGCACACCATTTCAGGGCATTTGTATTCCAAGTTTCAAGTGTCACCAAGACCCTACAGTCAGCTGGAGCAAACAGGGAATCTTTCACCCACTGAAACACCACACTTTATTTTCAGACACACAGTCTTTCTCAGGAACTATTTTTTCTTTAGCGATGTGTCCTGAACCCAGAAAAATATTTAGGAGTGGCATTTCACTCAAATCTGTGGCTGGACTGGTAGGGTTGGAGCAGGACTACTGATAAAGAGGTACCTACCTAACTTTGCTGCCAGGGGTCTTGACTCACTATTGGCTCATTTCCCCCAGCCCCTTCCCTATTAACTATGTTGCTGCAGGAAGGAAAGCACCCGAAATGCTCAGTGCAGAATGCAGCTCTATAAGCTTTATTCCTTATGACTGTGTTTGGGCACGTGCAAGAGTTTCTGGTGCTGAGCTTGGATGATTTGAATGAGATTCCAGCTCAGCTCATAAAGGGCTGGGGCTGGGACTGGAGTTGGTTTTTGGGTCCAGGTTCAAACTGCAAGCCCCACCTCCTCCTTAGCATTTCCATGCGCTTAGGTCGGTGGTTTGACTGTAACTTGTGTGTACAACTGGCTTGGGGCACACTGCAGTGCACGGCCATGCCATGTCATTTTTCTTTCCCAGCTAAGCATTGCTGTATGCACTGGATTCCTGACTGCCTGGACCCCTTATGCCATCGTTGCCATGTGGGCAGCCTTCGGAGATGTCAGCCAGGTCCCGGTTCTTGCCTTTGTGATCTGTGCTGTGTTTGCCAAGTCCTCCACACTCTACAACCCTCTGGTGTATCTGCTCTTCAAACCTAACTTCCAGAAATTTCTCTCCAAAGACCTGTCGCTGCTGCAGGCCATCCGCGCCATCCTCTGCTGCAGCCGCCAAAGCATTGTCACACTCCAGTCCTTCCCCACCAGAGAAGGCAGGACATCTGTCCGGTTCTCCACAGCCTTCGCCGACCGCCAAGGGCCCTGCAGGAACTGCAGTGACACCTTTGAATGTTTCCGTAACTACCCCAGGTGCTACCAATTCACCCAGAGTCCCAATGCCATGCCCAGACACCATCCTCTGAGCTTCCTGACAGATGGGGGTACTTGCCAGCCAGCTCTGAAAAGGACCGTGCAGGTCATGGTTCTGGTTACAAGGAAGAAGTCAGGCATGGGGACAATGAATGTAGCAGGAGAAGTCCTGCCTTCAGATATTGTGAAAGATCTTCTCTGAGCATTCAGAGAGCCCTACAGCTCCTGGGCTTGGCTAGGTCTCCAGTCACTAGCCAGCTGGGAACAGTTCAGGAATCTCTATTGTGTTCATCTGATGGGTCTCAAAGCATGTTTTGAAGATGAGGTGATACAGCAAACTCGAAAGCAGCCTTACCTCGCCTTCCATTTTTGCTGTTGCAACTTGTGCTCACAACCTGCACCAGTAAAAATGGATGCCAGTGTCTGAAGAATCTGGCCCTGGTAGAATTACATGCTGCATTTTCCAAGAAATATGCTCTCAGGGCACTAGATTCCCTCCACCCCATATTATGGTGCTTTTACGACCAAGCCTGACCTTGGTTCTCTTGAGAAGCATTGTCCAGCACAAAGGTCTAGGAGCTAGAAAGCCTTGAACTATGATCCTAGCTCCAACACTGACGCCTGTAGCCTTAGGCAAGTCAGTTTTCCCATCTGTAAATGGGGAATAACACCATTTACCTACCTCATTGAGGGTTGTAAGATTAACAAGTCTGTGTTGGTGAAGGGTTATAAATCTGAAAAGCCCTAAGCATTATAGATCTCTCAAGAGACACTACCCTGCACTTAGCTGTATTACCCCATTCCCTCAATGCTACTGCAAATAACCACCACTCTATAATATAGAATAGGGGCCTGTCCTTAGAAGCAGGCTTTGGATCTAAAATAATCTCAGTGCAAGGTTCCAGGTGCCATTCCCTTGGAGCAGTGACTGTGGCTCCACAGCATCCTTTTTTGGTGGGTTTAAAGTGACAAAAACATCTGGGGTGTATTTGTCAACTGAGCTTTTAGTTTTCATTTAAAAAATACTGTGTGGGCAGCGCATCCCTAGGGGAAGCAACTGGGCTGGGGAGAGCAAAGAAGTCACTAAGACCCTGTTCCTAAGCTTAGTAAAAATCAATGGAAAGATTTTACCTCAATTCTCCATCCCTATTCCTAACTAGATGCAGGGCCCTGTCATAGGGCAATATATTAGGCAGAAGGCAATGGAAGCCAGGGGGCATTAGCCAACGCATTCAGCCTGGTCACCCTGCACTGTCCTATTGTTTTCTGTTCCCAAAACTCCACTTTGTCTGGAAGATGAGGATGGGCATCAGAAGCACAAAAGACAGACACTACAAATTTATAACAACTCCTCCAAAAAGTCCCGGAAGGCAAACAATTTGCTATAATATCTGGATATATACAGTAGGGCTGTGCGAAACGGCACTGTTCCGTTTCAACTTGAGTGTCAAGGTTTGAACAGAACATCATTTTGTTTCAAATTTCATTTCAAGTTGAAACAGTTGTTCTGTTTTGCTTTCTCAAAATAGTAAGGCTGTTTCAACGCTGTTTTGATGTTTCGCCTGACCATCACGCTGGGGAAAGGAACTCAGCCCAGCTGGGCTGAGTTCCCATGCCCTGTGCTAGATCAGGCTAGGGATAGGAAGCTAGGCCAGCTGGGCTGACATCCCATCCCCAGCCTGATCACAGCACTTGGGAGTGCCTTCCCCTGTGCTGTGATCGGCTTCCCGCAGCCTGGCGGTGGAAGATGGGGAGAGCCAGGGCTGTGCTCCCGGCTGCTGCTGGGAGTGCAGCCCTGGTTGTCCCGTCTCCCACTACCTCGCTGCTGGCTTCGAAACTTTTGAAACGTTTCAAGTTTCAAAACATTTCGACTAGCTTCATTTTGTTTTGAATCCCTTTGTTTCGATTCTATTTCACTGTTTCAAGCTCAAAATGAGTCAGAACAGTGTTGATTCGAAACAGCCAGAGAAATTTTACACAGCCCTAATGTATAGGACTTCCTAAACAAAATTACACACCAAGGCAGAGAAAAAACATCCTGCTCCTTTGAGGAAATTCACAATAAAAAATGAAGCTCTGCACATACCATTCTGGCAGTGCCATGTCCAAGAAAATCCAGACTAGAGAAGAGTGAAGAGCTAGAAGACAATCAATGCCCCACTGGCAACTGGAGTTACATATCCCACCACATAAAACAAACCATGCAAAGGAAATACCCCAGGACGCACAGGAGCAACATGCTGGACACTAGATGCAGTGTGATAGGATACGGAAAACATTTTTAAGACCCCATAGAGACATACTGGTTCCCAGGAAGGCTAAACAAATGAGGAGCAAGAGAGAACAATACATGCTGGAGCTGCACCAGACCATGAGGGGACCACACACACACATTCTGGCTGCAGTGAAAGCAATACTTTTTGGAAGATCCCCCCCTCGATACTGGAAGATAGACAACAAATATACTCTGTTTAGGAGACAGAGAAAGGAAGAATGGAAAAAGATACAATATGTTTAACAGGTAAGGGCCAGATTTGATACCCGGCTCACACTGAATAGTAACAGCATAGTCACTCGTTTTAGCAGGGCTTTGCATGGCATAAGGTTCTACTTAATGTGAGCAAGAGGGGACAAGATTTGGCCCCAGTAAACAAATTGTCTCATCTACTGGAGTGCCAGAGCATCTCTGATGTGACGAGAATTGCTCGCAGTATCTGCACTAATATGCAGGCAATCATATGCCTAAGAAACCCCCATGAAATATGGAAGCTGCTTCTAGAATCATTAACCAAGTGCAATTAAATGAGATTAAAACATTCTCTCCCCTCTCATGCCTTTTAACATAGAGCACAGTACTGGGAGTCCCCTTTGCAGCTTCTATTTTCAGCCCTTGCATCATCTTGGGAGAGTCACAAAACTGCACTGTGCCAGAGTTTCTTTATCTCTAGGGTAGCGGTGGATGCAATCACTGTTTCTGAAGCTGTTTTAGATGCTCAGATGTCAGCGTGAAGCCAGTCTCAAAGTCAGGGAGCTGCGCTGCTCAGAATCCAGCCCCCTTTGCTTTTACACCGTGTTTATCCACAATGGAAATCACGATGGGGGGAACAACACAGCTCCTTTCCTCACAGATTTCCCGCTGCTTTGCAATCAATCAGTCTTTAAGTGAGTCTCAGCACACCCTGTGAGGTCAGCAAGGCTTGTGACACCCATCCACAGATGTGCAGAGAGGTGAGGGGACAGGCTTAATGTCATGGAGAGAGCAGTAGGAGAGAGAGGAATAAACCCCAGTTCCCTGGAGCAGAGTTGGAGCATGTTTTTCCCCGTTATAGGTAATGTGATAAACATAAAAGTAGTTTCCCACTCCCATGTTTCAGTATCATTCATAAACTACATGGCTCCGCAGTCTGTTCAGCAGCATGGAGGAGGGAGGGGTGTTCAACCACTGAAGCACTTAACCAGAATGGTAAACTATTTTCTCTCTTGAGCTACTGGAAAAGAGCATCTCATATAGACAGTGCCACTATGATAGCATATTGCTCTGTATTCCTTCCACAGTGCACAATAAATGACTTGTCTTCTGTATTCTGCAATCAGATTCTTATCTTGTTCTTCTGGACTCGACTCTCCACATACAGATATTACTATTCTTAGTAGGCACTTCGTGAGCAGTGAAATATTGTTGTCTTTACTTAGAACTAATATAGCAGTATCTTCTACTCAAAGAGCACAAAGCACTTTAAAATTATTTAATTTGCTGAGACTCCCTTAAGAAAGAACAGCATTCTCCCCAGTTTACAGACAACTGAGGCACAAGGAGCAGAAGTGACTCATCCAAGATCACACAGCAGGGCTGGGAATACAAGTCCAGCCTCCCAATTCCAAGCTCTGTGCATTGACCATATTTCTGTTCAACTTCATAATACTGATCCAAAGGTGCCTTAAATCTCTAAGGCTAAGAATGGCCATGGGATCGAAAAGGAAACCACATCAAACATCCCCACTGAGAGGGAATTACTCTCTGTGCGGAAACCAGGAAGGAGGCAATGGTAACATAAAATACCATCCAGAAGTGTCTTTAATTTCATATTGGATGTGAGTCTTGCACAAGAGAAATCTGTGGGTGCAACATTTCCACTAAATAATCTCACCCACTTCAACAGTGCTTCTTGCATCGGTGCAATATCATCCCAAGGAAAGCAACATCCAAAGGCAGCAAGATGAAGAGACCTATGGAAATAGCTGGTTAAATGAAAACTGGTATCAGAAATTCAGCTGTGAAAGTTACACCTGTTGATCTAGACGGCTGCAGAGGGAAACCTCTGATCCTCCCATACCTAGGAGAGAAAAGGGGGTTCAGGCGACTGCCCTGCCCCTGACTGAGCTGCAATCAGTTTGTTTTCCCTCACCCCACCAAGCAGATCATCATGATCTGCAACGGCCTCCAGGGCCCAAACATCTTCACTGTCTTCTGTGAGTTCTTCACTTGTCATTTCAATCCTTGACAGAACTGACACACTTTCCCGCCCCCTTTTCAATGAATATAGAACAAGGCACTATGCAAATGCACAAGCGACTTATACAGAAAAATCCAGAGCGATAACACTTTAGATGTGTCAACCAGATACTGTACAAGCTGTAAACATTCCCAGAAGGGACAGAGGGCTGGAGCCAAGAAGAACAGATAACGTGCAAGGGAATAGGATCACGGGGGGATGGATAGAAGACACCTACTCCTCATCACCTAGGGTAGCACCTTGGCCCGACTGAAACAAATAGCAGAACTCCCATTACTTTGATGGGGTTGGGATTTTAACCCCATACCTCCCACTCTAAAACCCATAAACAACAGTTCCCCACTGTGTATCTTCTAGAGGCTGTGTCTCCTCCAGGCTTGAAGAGGATGACATAGGCAGGCACTATTTAAGAGTCAGGGTGTTAGCCCCAGTGGTGTGGCCCTGTTCCAGCTTGGGTCATTATATTCTTCGTACCTTTATTCCCTTGGCAACTCCCAGTAAATATAGTACCCTTCATGTCCTTTCCTTAGACTATTGTGTAGTGTTGCTATGGATTGTTGAAGAGTTGCTGCACTTTAACCCAGAGGTGACTGCACTTCTGCGGCAGGCAAAATGATGACTGTATATCCAGTCAATCTAGTCAGCAAGGCTTGTAAAAGCACTTTGGAATCCAGCTAGACTGAAGGTGCTTTCTACATGTATGATCATTATCAGCTACTGCTGCGTAAATATAACTAGCATGTGATAGCATGACTGTCATGTAAAAGGTAGCTCATGCTTTTGTCTGTTAGTGGTCTCTACTTAGCCACTTCTTCTAGCAATTTCCCCATGATATGAGTGGGTCCATGAGCCGGAACGGGTCTCAGATTTTCAGAACTGGCTGCACTGTTATACCCCCAGACACTGTGATATCATGTATGTGCACAGGATGTGTATGTGCAAATGATCAGTTAGAGAACAGGATTTATGCACTGTGGAACAGCAATAACTGTGAAGTCAAGTTAGGTGCAAAATTTTGGAAGTCTGGGCTTTGTTTTCTAACTTATACTATGCAAAAATAAAAAACCTTGCAATATTTGCAAAAGCTGCAAAAACAAAATCAGGGCAGCAAGTGAAAGAAACAAAAACCAACAAAACAAAGAGAACAAATTTCAAATGTTTGCAAACATTTATAAGTGTTAGACACTTTGACCAGTCAAGACTGAAAATCCCATTCAAGCCAGGTCAAGACATAGTCACCAATTTCCACACAAATATCTAGGGCTACCATTGTGAATGCCCACACTACAATCGTACGCCTGGCACATGAGGAAATAATAAATACTCTACTTCTCTGTTAAGTATTCATTGTCTTGCAGAAATTGTACATTTTTAAAATAAATTTGCTCATGAAAAACTTGCATTAAACTCACTTCAATTAAGTGTTAGCCTGGTAGTAGCCAATATAAGAGAGAGCTCTCCATCTTTTGCTAAACTAATATAGCTGCTAATGC